GAGGGGGAAGGCCCCCTGGCAGCAGACAGGTAACACCCAGAATCTGGCTCAGATCTAAACTTGGGGAACTCTGCTGGGACATCCATGCCCAGACACACGCGTCTTGCAGGAGGACTGGGTAGCAGGAGAGGCCTCTCTGGGGCAAAAGCAGCAGGGACCAAGTTCCCAGCTTGAGGGATGCAGGCGGACGCTCAGCCTGGCCTCTGCCAAGTGGTCACCCCAGCCCTAGGCGGAGAGGCAAGAGGCGCCTCCTTGTGGCAACACAGGGCAATGCACAATGTCACCTGCCTGTTGGCTTTCAGTGTGGACACAGGTGCAGGCTGTTCTAGAGCCACCTCTGCCCGTCCCTTGCTTGAACCTTCTTCCTCCTCTTGCGTTGTAGGTCATCACCAGAGCGACCCCATCTGGGCGTTCCCCACGTGGGCATAGGTCAGCTTTTCCAAGGGAATTGCCCCATACTGGCTCCCACCCTCAGCACCTGCCCCTGGCTGGAGATCCCACCTCCCTCCAGGGAAAGCTGTCCGGGTTTCCAAGAGGGTGACAGGTGCCAAGTGACCCAGGCCTGTCCTCCAGGAAGCTCCAGGGAGGAAGTGGGCCAAGAGGTTGGAACGAAACAAGACACAAACAGGTGGTGCTCCTGCAGCTGGCTTGGCCTCCTGAGTGGGGTGGGATCCCTAGCCAGGCCCCCCGCGCCTCTTCAGCCTAGGTGGGCTCCCACACCTGGCAGCTTTCCTTCCTACCCCCTCCTGCCCCACCACTCTGGCCCCCTGCCAGGCCCCCTGCTCCCACCCCCAGGACAGGCTCTGATGTGGTCCAACAGGTTGAACACCACCCCTGGCCACACCCACCCCTGTCCCACCCCTACCTTTGGGCAGAAAGTGTTAAAGAAGGGAAGGAGTGGGAGGGGAGAGCGCAGCCCTTGCTGAAGCGCGTCCTGGGAGCTGGCTGCTCAGGAACAAGAAGGGGGGAGGAAGGAAGTGGAACAGAGACGGGGTCCCCAGAGGGAGAGCAGGTGGGGGCCGGGGTGCAGGGCAAGGGCTGGGGCGCAGTCTGGTCTCATCACCTTGAACTTCACAGGTGGTACGCCCAGGATGAACTTTTCCAGCTGTTGGCCACACAAAGCAACTGCGTTCCAGGATCCCAGTGGATCCAGCGTGAGCAGCCTGGGTGGACAGTCAGTTGCTGTCCTGGCTCACTAAGCCCCAATGTGGGCCTCCACTGATGTCACTTCCAGGCCACCATGAGGGTGTCTGGACTGTTCATGAAATCAAGTGGGGGGGGCCGGTGAGGTAGCTTAGTGGTTAAAGTCCTTGCCTTGCACGCACCAGGATCCTATATGGGCTCCGGTTCTAGTCCTGGCAGCCCCAGCTACCTTCCCATCCAGCTCCTGCCTGTGGCCTGGGAAAGCAGTCAAGGACGGCCCAAAGCCTTGGGACCCTGCACCCACCTGGGAGACCCAGAAGAGGCTCCTGGCTTCGGATTGGCTCAGCTCCAGCTGTTGCAGCCGCTTGGGGAGTGAATCATCAGACGGAAGATCTTCCTCTCTGTCTCTCCTCCTCTCTGTATATCTGACTTTGCAATAAAAATAAACAAATCTTAAAAAAAATCAAATGAGGGACTGGGGAGATGGGAGATTGGGGGCTGGGAGACCGAGGGCTGGGGGCCTGGAGGACTGGGACTCGGTGGGCTGGGGTTCTGGGGGACAGGGAGACGAGGGGGGGGCTGGGTGACTGGGAGATGGGGCTGGGGGACAGGGAGCTGGGGGGCTGAGGGGCTGGGACACGGTGGGCTGGGGCCTGGGAGATGCGGAGTTGGGGGCTGGAAGGTGTGGTACAGAGGGTCGGGCTGTGGCTGGGTTTGGCTCCTGCATCCAGCCTCCTGCTTACATGTAGCTGCAAGACAGAAGGGGACGGCTTGGGTGCTTGGGTCCCTGCCATCCATAAGGGAGGCCTAGATGGAGTTCCTGGCTCCTGGCTCCAGCCCAGCCCAGTGCTGGCTGTGTGGACATTTGGCCAGTGAGCCAGCAGAGGGCTCTCTTGCTCTCTGCCTTTTAAATTAGTGTTTAGAAAGGAAACCTCAGGGGCCCATGTGGGTGCGGGATGGACAGCCAGGTACAGAACGGGAAAGCAGAGCCTTGCTCAAGAATCTAAGAATTTCAAGACTGGGACTAGTGGCATAACATGCTAAGCCTCTACCTGTGGCACCTGTATCCCATACAGGCACCAATTTGTGTCCTGGAAAAGCAGCAGAGGATGGCCCAAAGCCTATGGCCCTAGCACTTGTGTGGGAGACCTGGAGAAGCTCCTGGCTCCTGGCTTCGGATCAGCTCAGCTCCGGCCGTTGTGAACCAGAGGATGGAAGATCTCTCAGTCTCTTTTCTCTGTAACTCTGCCTTTCAAATAAAAATAAAATGTATTGTAAAAAGAAAAAGAAAGAGTGTCAAGAGGGTAGCAGCTGGAACCTCAAGCAGGCCTGGGCCCTTCTGAGCTTGGGGCCGCCTGGAAAAAATCAGAATTTCTTTGCTTTAATTTGTTGAAAAGGCAGAGAGAGGAAAAACAGAAAGACTGAGAGAGAAAAACCTCTTCCATCCGCAGATTTCCTCTCGCATGCTCCCAGGAGCTTTTGTTTGTTTAAATATTTATTTAATTTTATTGCAAAGTCAGATATAGGAGAGAAGGAGACAGAGAGGAAGATCTTCCGTCCGATGATTCACTCCCCAAGTGAGCGCAACGGCCGATACTATGCCGATCCGAAGCCAGGAGCCTGGAACCTCTCTCAGGGTCTCCCACGCGGGTGCAGGGTCCCAAGGCTTTGGGCCGTCCTCGACTGCTTTCCCAGGCCACAAGCAGGGAGCTGGAAGGGAACCAGAGTCGCTGGGACTACAACTGGTACCCATATGGGATCCCGGTGTATTCAAGGCAAGGACTTTAGCCGCTAGGCTACCACACCGGACTCTATCTTTGTAACTTTAAAAATATATATTTTTTATTGGAAAGTCAGATATAGAGGAGGGACAGAGAAAGATTTTCTGTCCCTCTGAATTACTCCCCAAGTGGCCACAATGGCCAGAACTGAGCCAATCTGAAACCAGGAGCCTGGAACTTCTTTTGGGTCTCCCATGTGGGTGCAGGGCCCCACTGCTTTCCCAGGCCACAAGCAGGGGCTAGATGGGAAGCATGGCCGCCGGAATTAGAACCTGCACCTATACGGAATCCTGTTGCGTACAAGGTGAGGACTTTAGCCACTAGGCTACTGTGCCTGGTCCCTCTTTTTAACTCTTAAACAAATCTTTAGAAAAAGTGTTTGGAGTCATCTGTAAGGGCCATTACATTGCTTCCCAAGGGCACTTTTTCCTGGACTTGGCATCGACTTTGCCAGGGAGCAAGAAGGCAGCCTGCACCTCAACATGGCATTAGTCTGCCTGGGGCTGCCAGCTTGGCCTGCTGGGACACTGGCTGGCCTGGCTGTGAACGCCCTCATGTCCTGGGGGATCCCAGGTGCCAGTCAGCAGTGTTATAAGGCAACAGCATACATTAACACAGTGCTTCCTCGTGGGACAGGAGCAGATCCCAGCAGTGGTCCAGGACCCAGCCTTTGTGTCCCAAGGTTGGAGCCTCAGGGTCCTGGGTGGCCTAGGCAGTGATCTTGGCCCTGAGGCCCACCAACTGCCCCGTCCGTGGTCAGTGAGCCTACTGCCCCAATAAGGCTCCTCTTGGGCCGGCCCCCTGGCCTGTCGTCCCCATTCCCGTCAGCACCATGAGCCCTGGGGGCCGCTGCTGTGCCTCGACCTGCCTGGGAGACCAGCAGACACGAGGTCACTCTGCATTGCAAGTAAGCAAACTTGAAGAGTGTGGGGACACACAAGCGCACACACGGCAGCAAGGGAGAAAACAGTCCCTACAGAAACAGCACTGGGGTCTGGGACCCTGGGTTCTGGGAGAACTGCTGGGGTGTCTGGTTCACCAGCAGAGAGAAGCACCCCAAGGTCTCACGAGGCGCCCTGGGCAGCTTGGGAGGCAGTTCCCTCAGCACCCTGGGGCTCTCCGGCCAGCCTCCCAGTTGGCAGTGGCCTCATGCTTCCCTCATTAGTTCCATCTCCAAGCATGGAAGAGCAGGTGCTGGGCCTGCGGATGCCCAGGAAGCCTTGGTGGGCCAGGCCTTTCTGCATAAAGAAGGACTTCCACTCAGCAGGTGGCCCCGCCCAGGGGGTCCCTCCCATCCCAGCAGCCAGCCTGGCCCCGCCCAGGGGTTCCCCCCCAGCAGCCGCCGCCCCACTCAAGGGATCCCCTCTCACCCTACACCCTCAATCCCACGCCAGCAAGCATCCCTGGGAGAGGGGACGAAGTTGCCCCCAGGCTGTGCCCACCCCAGCACTTTCCATCAGGCAGGAAACCAACTTCTTCATGGCTCCTTCCCCCTAGTAAGGGACAGTAAACACATGATGAGCTGCAAAAGGTTGGCATCTTTTGCGGTTTAATTTTTTTTTCTTTTTCTTTTTTTTTTTGCTTTTGTAAAGAAAAATAAGGTTGCATTTTCTGTTTGAAACAAAACCCGAGTAAAATTCCTTCCCACCTAGCCCAGCCCAGGTACTGGGGCTCGGCTGCCTCAAGTGCAAGGAATAAGGAATAGAGTTTGGTTTTGTTCAGCAAAAAAATAAAATTAAAAACTTAACTCCCGCCCCCACCCCAGCCCCGGGTGGCAAGGGGCTCTTCCGGCTGGGACCCTCTGCGGCGGCTGGGGCCAGGACACTCCTCCCCGACAGGTTCATAAAAAACAAAACTCTTAAAAAAAGCACCCAAAGCTTAAAAAAACGGAAAGCTCCCTAGTAGGAGGGGCTGGGAGCCTCCTGCCCGGCAGCAAGACGCCTTGTGAAGTAGAAAAATAAAAGTAACCTTTATCCCTGAATGGTGGAGTGAGGAGCCTCGCCAGGCACCCGCCCCTGGCACTGCCCAGAGGGCTTGTGCCGCAGGCACACACACCTGTGCCGCGTGGGTGCCCCGGGTCTCTCCTGCTCCTCTGGGGGTGCAGAGGTGTTAGAGGTGTTAGGCAGTGGTCGTGACCCCCAGGGGAGGCAGCTGGTCAAGGTGCCCTGAGATGTCACGTGGGGCCTGGGCAAGGACCCTGTGGGCAGCAGACGAGGGAGGCTGACGAGCCCCTGAGACCTCCTGGGACATCCCGAGGGAGGAGAGGACAGTGGGAGGCCCAGCCCCACCTGGCCCCATCGGAGCCGACACAGGAGGGGGCAACGCGGGGCTGATGACACCAAAGATGGGGACGCGCTGCAGCCATACGCCTCCCACAGGTGGTGACCACGGACCAGCTCCCCCTGCCCATGGCTGACCACTGTGATCAAGGGGTACAGTAGCAGAGTGGCCCTGCTGGCAGGCTCCTGCAGGGTCGGCTACTGGCAGGGACCCCTGGCTGGGGGCTGGAGTCAGCACCAAGCACAAGGGCCATGGGGCGGTGAGGCAGGTGGTGCAGAGGCCTGGGCCCTTGTCAGCTCGGCACCGCAGGTCGGGTGGGGAGTGGAGGCTCCAGGGCCGGAGGTTGGTGAGCCAGGCCCGAGGAGCAGCGGTGTGCCCTGGAGGACCGCTGTGGCAGGCAGGGCCTCAGCGCAGGCTCTGATACAGGTAGGCTGAGGTGAAGAGGGCGTTGGCCGCCAGGCTCAGGGCCAGGAGGCCGCGAAGCAGGCAGGGGCCCAGCCGACCTGAGGGGATAGAGACCTGGTCAGAGCGGGACCCTGGCACCAGCCAGCCTGGCTAGGCCAGAGGCCTGTGGCACGTTACAGCCGAGCCCCAACCTCCCCAGGGCACCCTTCTCCCAAGCTTGTACCCTGGTGGGGCCGGCACATCTTTACATTTGTAGCATGAGGGGCAGAGAGATGAGGCCCAAGGACCTGGCCAACGACTACCTGCCCCACCTCGTGGGTGAGAGCGCTGCTCCGGTGCCCTGCCCTTGTCTGCCTGGCCCAGCCTGTTTCTGTCAGCACGCACACCCCCACCAGGAGGAGGAGCTGGTGGTGACCATGGACGCCCCTCTTCACAGCCTCGGGGCCCGCAGCCTGGAGCAGGAGCGGCGATCTAACCCACACAGCTTGGCATGCTTGGGGCTTCAGGCCGGTGCAGAGCCAGGACCCCTGGCCACGTGAGAAGCTTTCAGCACATGTGGCTACTGAGCCCATGGCCAGCGCGGGCGAGGAGCAAAATGCCCAATTCTGATCAGTTCGAATGCAATGAACTCTAACAGCGAGCGGCTCGTGGTCAGTGAGCCAGTGTCCTAGGGTGCGCAGGCTGGGGGTCCTGGGCCCTGGGCTGAGGCTCCACAGTGCCCTTGAGGGGGACCTACTCTGTCAGGGTGCAGAGGACCTCCACTACAGACCTTTCCAGGTGGCGGCTTCCTCGGAGCACCCCTTGGTGGTGGTGTCCACCACACAGTTGGACGACTGCGACGAATCGTCCTCCTTTTTGATAAAGCGGCTGCTGTAGGTGCGGTCATGGGCCGATGTGGCTCTCACATCTGGGGAAAGGAGTGTGTGTGGCCTGCGGTCAGTGCCCAACGGTGCCCAGCCGGCCCCACCCATGGTCCCCCCCTGGGGAGCAGGAAGCCAGGGCCCAGCTCTGACACCCACCTAACACTGCTCTGGGGAGTCTTCAGAGGGGGACAGGCCTGGCACGTGCCACCTGTCTCCTTGGGCCCAGTGTTCGGGGCCAGCATGGCCAGACATGATGCTGGGATGTGGAGAACCTAGTTTCCACGGCTTCACTGTACACCAGCATTCGGGTATAGCAGAAACACCGTGACCTGCAGCACCTGGTGGGGCTTAGCCCCAAGGGTCAGTTATAAAACCAGCCATGAGAGGGCAGCACCCATAGGACGCAGAGCCTGTGGTCTCACCAGGGTTCTCCAGCTTGGCGGGGAGTTGGGGGGGGGACAGTCACACACAGGGTGTGAAAAAAGGCTGCCACCCCAGCCCCTGCTGTGCTCCGAGAAGGGCTGGGACAAGGCCGTACCCACTGTGTGCTTGGAGTCCTGCACTGGCTGCCGCGGGGGTAGCTGGGGCGACTCGAGGGTGAAGAGGCTGCTGTTGGAAGGCGAGTGCTCGTCCGAGCTGCTGGGGGTGTGGGGCGCCTCCCCAGAGGGTGATGGGAACAGCAGCAGCTTCTGCCCTTTCAGGTTGAGCCTGGCAGGGCTGATGAGGGGCCTGCGGTGGCGCAGAGAGCCGGAGCTGGAGGCCACGGAGGGCGCTGGCGATGGCAGCGGAGAGGTGGGGCAGCTTCCGGACAGCACAGACAAGTAATCTGCAGGAGGGGGCGGCCAGGGACAGTGAGGACGGCAGGGCTGGACACAGCCACACATGTCCTCTTAACTGTTCACTGCCAGGGGGATGCCCCGGGAAGGAAGGCCCTGCTTCTCCAGCTCGCCCCGCTTCTCCAGCCCACCCTGCTTCTCCAGCCCACCCCGTTTCTCCAACCCGCCCTGCTTTTCCAGCCGGCCCTGCTTCTCCAGCTTGCCCCACTTCTCCAGCCCGCCCAGCTTCCTCCTCAAGCTGGAAACAAGGCCCAGGGCAGGTGCGCCAAGATGCTACAGGAGGATGCACAGCCCATCACCGCCAGGCCCTTTTCTCGGGGCCCCTGGGCGTCCTGCCTCCTTACCTGCCACAGGGGCCTCTCCGGACGGAGACACTCGAGACGGGGGGCGGCTCCCACTGAACAAGTAGCCTGAGTCTGAAGAGAGATGAGACCCCCATCAGGCCCGCGTCCTCCCTGTCGCCCTGCCTACGATCCAAACCCAACTTGCTGCTGAGGCTGCTTCTTTGTGAACACAGGGACCCACGCAACCCTGTGCCACCATGAGAGCATGTCCAGAGCGCCACCCCCAGGACCCACTGCAGAGCGAGGTGACCCGAGAGGTGCCAGACGCTTCCCCAAGGAGAGGATGAACTTGGGGGTTTAAACTTGATCCAGTGATGTATCCTCTGCCTGCAGCAGCTACATCCCACATGGGTGCCGGTTCAAGTCCCAGCCAGGTCCTTGAGCCCCTGCATCCATGTGGGAGACCCAGAAGCAGCTCCCAATTCCTGATTTTGAACTGACTCAGCTCCAACACCAAAGCTTAGATCTTCGTACCTCTCCCTCTAACCTTGATTTTCAGATGTCAGGTGAAAGAAATAAACCTTAAAAAAAGAAAAAAAGAAGAAAAAAACAAAGCCCTAGGGCTGGTGCAGTAGCTTAGTTGCTAATGTCCTGGTCTTACATGTGCTGGGATTCCATATGGGCACTGGTTTGTGTCCCAGCTGCTCAACTTCCCTTCCAGCTCCCTGCTTGTGGCCTGGGAAAGCAGTCGAGGGTGGCCCAAAGCCTTCGGACCCTGCACCCACATGGGAGACCCGGAAGAAGCTTCTGGCTCCTGGCTTCGGATCGGCTCTGGCCTCCTGTCCCAGACCCAGTGCTGCTGCTGTGGCCATGTGGGCGAACAGACCAGCAAAGGGGTGCTCTCTCCTTGAGCAAACATGGCAGAATTTTTTTTTTTTTAATGGAAATCTCCTGTTGTCAGCTTCTGAGGAGACCCTGCAGGGAAAGGTGGAAGCTGTGACAGAGTGAGTCTCCCAAGCCAGGGCCAGGTCTCTCCTCTCCACTGACGCACCTGACCGGAAGGGACCTGCTGTTCGAGGCGCAGCACACAAGGGCTTGGCACACTTCCCACAGCCTCAAGTCACGAGGGTCAGAATGGCCAGAAGAGACACCTCAGCATATGCAATGATGCTGCCAAGCACCCATGAGTGGCGCCAGCTGCCTTCTAAGCATCGCTCCACCGGGCGCCCCAATCCCCGATGAGGGGCACCCCACTACTGAGTCACAGTGCTAAGTGGAAACAGTCCCCAAAGGTCCATCTCTTGGCTGGTGTGTGAGCCCAGCCCCATCTGTCTGCAGAGGCAGGAGCTCTGATCACCCCCAGCTGATCCCTGCCCCCCCCCCGGCACCTGCTGGCTCCTTACCTGCTCGAGTTAGAGAGGGGATGGTCCCCAGCGAGAGGGCCTGGCTGAGGCGGCCGGGCAGCGAGGAGGGCGAGGCCCGCCGGGCAGACCGGAACAGCTGCCGGTTGGTGAGCGGCAGGAAGCCGGGTGGGCTGGGGATAAATAGGGGTGGCGACGAGCCTCCGACAGCTGGGTAAGGTACAGCCAGGCTGGGGCTGGTGGGGAGGAGGCCAGCGGCGTCCCCTGGGAAGTACCTGCAAGGCCCGTGGTGGGCATGGGAGAGAAAAGGTGGGGGGTGAATGAGAGCGCTGCAGCAGCCTCCAGCCCCTCGCCAGCGCTGCGAGGTGGAGCCCTGAGTCCGGGTTCTGGTGTGGGGCGAGGGAGGCGTGTGTTAGCTGAAGCAAAACAGCGCTCCGACCACGTTCGCACCATTAGGAGCAGGTGGCTAGGAGGTGCCAGGGCCGCCCACCCCTCCCCGCATGCCCCTGGGGTTCACAGCACACGATTTCTGCTACAGGTCTTGGTATTAAAGTGACACTGTCACGCTCGCCAGCCTCACGCCATGCCTCGCCTGGAAGTGAAATGGCCAGCCAAGCGTGACACACGATGGCGCTCAGTGCAGTGCACCTGGGCCACATGCTGCCCCCTGCGCCCAGCCTGGGGGGGCCTCTGCCCTGGGCAGCTGAGCCCAGGATGTGAGTCCACTGCTCCTGCTCCTGGAAGTGCCCCTGCTGCTCTGCCCAAGGGTGGTGCCTTCCTGCCCTCCTGTTCATCCCCGTAGACACAGAAGGGGAGGCGGTGGCCAGGCACAGGGCCTTGGGCTGTCTCTCACAAGACACATTGGACTCAAAATTAGCAAGAAGACCTGCCAATGAACACCAGGCCACCTGGAAGGAAGCCAGGTGACAGTGTCTCTTTAACTCAAGACTGGTACAGATCACACCTGGGACCCAGCGGCCCCAAGCTCAAGTTCAATCATGCTTCTGATTAAGGCACCCGATTATGGAGGGATGGGGTGGGGTGGGGAGGTCAGAGGCAGTTAATCCATTAGTCTGCCATCCAGATGGAGCACTGGGGTATCCAGCCTTACCTCGCTCCCAAGGGACACGTGAGGCCAGAGGACAAGGCGCTGACCAGTGGGCAGGCTGGCATGGCCTTGCGGCGAGCCAGGGCCTGGCTAACGTGCCCACATCTGCCGTGACGGAGGGCTCAGGGTTGTTAGTCCTGCTCCACACCACCTGTCTCTCCTGAATCTTTGTAAGGGGCGGGCAGGGTCAACTGCTGCTGTCCTGGAGTCATGTGGCCTTTGTGACGTCTCCCAAAGTACCAGGAGGCCATCCAGGGTTCAGAACGCAAGGCAAAGCCTGGCACTGGAAACTGAGCAGGCCACCAGGTGCTTCTGCAGAGGGGCTGGGGTGCCGGAGCCCGGGCTGGACACACGCAGGCTGCCCTGAGCTAAGCACGAGCCAAGCTCTTGTGCTGTCCCTTCAGAACTGTGACACCACTGAGCAGGATGGTGCCAGCGACTGGGAATGGCTCGAGGGTGGAGGCAGGGCAGGTGCAGCTGGAACCTTTGGACCACACTGGACCCCCCCCTCCCGCTCCATGGAGGGAGAGCTGAGCAGGCACCCATGCTAGGAGCCCCACAGGTGGTGGCTCTGCTGCAAAGGGGTAGGTCAATGGCAACCTGGGGACAGGAAACTGGTAGGGGGCAAGCAGAGGCAGTTGGGACCCGTTACGGGGCAGGCGGGTCTGAGTCAAGAGTGCAGGCTGCTGGGGCACCTGCTGGCCCACAGGCTCCACCCAGCCTTGCCCACCAGCACAGGGCTATCCCCAGGCCTGCTGGGCTCTAGGCTACTCCCACTCAGTAGCTGCCCTCCTGGGGGGAAGTGGAGGTCCCATTTGGGCTCCAGGAGGGGCCGTGTGTACTCCCAAAGCAGCCCCAACCCACTGAACTCTAACAGTGGCACGAGTGTGGACTCTGAAGCTGTTCTGTGCAGATTTCCCTCTCACCCCCCAAACAGGGACTCGGAGTAGGGGACACACAGCTGGGCGTGTGCCCCAGGCTGGCTGGTGTGGTACCGGGAGTGCTCCTAATGCAGACGAGAGCCCAGTGGTCCTCTCTGGTCAGCCCCATCTGCATCAAGGGCAGCAGAGCAAGGCCCATGCTTGAAGCAGCTGTTCCTGGCCCCAGCCAGGTGCCATCACCGGTTCCCCGCCCTCACTTCCCAGTGCCCCCTCCCCCACCCTGGCACGGAGCCCTTCTGCAGGAACAAGAAAGAAAAAAGGCAGGAAGTCGCAGCACCTGACGCCCACCGGGAGCGCAGAGTCCCAGAGGCATTTATTGACAACACGGCATCCAGGGCCAGGGCAGTCGTACAGCGCTGGGGTCACTACACAATCATAGTTCTACCACACACGGGTGGGGTCTGGCCACAGCACAGGACACGGCTCCTTCCACGACAGGGTGAGGCTGCAGTGGGGGGCGTAGGGTCCCCAAGGACATGTCCTGGAGTTTCCTTGGCTCAGGGCAGGTATCTGGTAGCTACCAGGCTGAGCCCCTCCCCTGTCCCCTCTCAGGGTGGGGAGGGAGGGGATGGTCACTCCTCCTCCTGGGGTTCCCACTCTGACGGGCTAGAGGCGGGAGGCAGGCTTCAGATCAGAAAGCCCTGCACCAAGTAGGCTTTCAAGGACAAGTGGGTGAGTCTACAGTCACACGGTCCAAGGGCAGCAGGGGCCTGCCCTGGGAGACCCTGGGAGAGGTAGGGCAGAAGGCAGGGAGCCACTGCTTAGAGGGGCTGCGGCCGGCCACTGTGGCTTCACTTCTCCTACATAACTTAGCATAAACACAAACACACCCACGGCCAATCAAAGCAGAACCCACCACTACACAGATGGCGTCCCCGAGTCCGGGGCGCTTGGTCAGGCCCCTTCCTGCCAGCACTTCTCTGCTACCCCAAAGGGCGTGAACAAGCAGGCAGGAAACCCTTGACCTCAGGGCACGACCCCCTCTCCCCAGAAGGGTTTTTTATCCCTCACAGAGCAACAGGCTAAGCTTCCAAGTGACTTAGCCCAGTAGGTGGACCCTGGGTAGTCACAGGGCCTGGGGGTGGAGTGGCCTCCTAGTGCCCTCCCCCTGCAGACTCACAGCAGCGGGGCCCAGGCTCCGACTCTGGAACCCCCATGGGGCCCACGCGGGGCTGAGTAGGCACTCCCACACAGGTGCACAGGTTGTCTCCCTTGGGCTCTGACGGTGCAGGGTCGAGGATGCCACACCCGGCACTACATCCCATTTTGGGGTGATGGGCAAAGTGACAAGAACAGGACAGGAGCCTGGCTGGAGCCCAGCTAGAGGGACTGTCCACACCAGCAGGAGTTACCAAGGGGTCAGGGGTCAGGCTTGTCCACACTCCTGCCCAGGCCATGTACCCGCCATGCCCAAGTCCCACCTCCCTGGGGCTAGTGCTCTCACACTGACCCTGGAGAGGGCCAGCTCTCCGTCAGGGGCTATGCTGGGTTCCCAACAGCAAGGGGGGAGGGACAGGATGCACAGCTGGAGAGAAGCTGTGCCTTTCTGGGACAACACCCCCAGAAGCCCCTGAGTGACCCAGCGTGGGAGGGTGGCTGAGGCTGTGCCCAGGGGGGAGCGGGTAACAGAGTGTCTCAGCAACCAGCAACCACTGCTGGAGGCTGCTGACAGGATCAGAGAGGAACAGGGTAGCAATGAGTCATGTGTATCCCTGGACCCGTTACCGGTGGCCACCTTGGGCAACCTGAGCCCTCTCCAGGGACCACACAGGAGTGCGTGCAACAACAGGCTGGTCAGGCTGCCGCAGCCCCTGGCTGCCAGAGCAGCAGCCTCTCTTCCTGGGCAGAGCGGGCAGACCTGGGCTCTGCTGGGGTCCTCGGTGTGCCCAGCTGGGAAGTGAGGGGAGAAAATACCAGCAGGTCACCCGGCCTGGACACCCTCCACCGCCTGGCTTAACGGGAGCCCTGCTGGCCACAAGTCACAGATTTACTGTCCACTGGGAAGGAGTCTGATTCCACTCTCATGGCAAAGGCCAGCCTGGACCCAGGTATTACATTCTGCATTCCTGGGCAAGGAGCCGTGGGAGCACGGTCCCCAGAAGGCTCTCGAGCTGGAGTGGAGTCAGCCTGGGCCAATCCCCCCTCCTTTTTGGCTGTACAGCTGGCCCAATAAGAGGTGTGACAGGACGGAGCGGCTGTGTAGGAAAGACCCAGCCTACATGGCCCCTGGCGCTGCAGAAGGGCAGGAGAGGTGAGGCTGGACCCCTGGCCAGCAGCTGGGGCGCTGCCTGGGTTCTGCTCACAGGGTCCTGGGCAGCGGGGATGGCTGATGAGGCCGGGAAGGAGGGCAGGCAGGGCAGGGCTGGGTCAGGACCCGGGTGGGGTTCTAGGTGCAGTGGACGGCACGAGGCAGCTAGGAGCAAAGCCCGAGAGGCGCCTGCCCGCTGGGGCCCCGCCCTGGGCCTGGCCATTGGCCTGTCCTCCCCGCCCAGCCCTGGGCCTGGCCATCGGCCTGTCCTCCCCGCCCAGTCACTGCTGCTTCTCTACCTTCTGGGCCGGAACCTCCGCGGGCCCGTCGCCTTCTTGGTGGCCACAGCTGCTGTGAAGCCCACGAGGCAGCACAGGGACGTGGTGCTGAACTTGAGCGTGTCCAGCCAGCCGGGGGAGGCAGTCTGCAGGTACTGCTCGGCCAGGTGCAGGCCCAGCAGCAGGGCCCACAGGCCACTGCAGAAGGCATCAATCCTGCGCAGCCTGCGGGGAGAGCAGGTAGGTGAGCACCCCGGGTGGCCCCCAGCCTCCTCCACACCCAGCCTGGACACTAGATGGCCAGGCGGTTCAGGGTTCCTTCTACGCCTCCAATCAGTAAGGCTGAGGACTGACAGGGAAATAGATACAGCTCAGGAAGAGAAGCCAGGCCTTTCTGGAAGACCCTCGGAGCCTCCCAACCAAGATGCAGGTGGCTATGGTTGCCCCGATTTCATAGGTGGGGATCCATGGAGCCCTCTAGGTGGAAACACAATGGGGCTGCCCTGTCCTATGCTGTCCCTCCAAGGGAAGTCATGTGCCGGCCATCCCGCTCAGCAGCCCCTGAACAGGCTTGTCCAGCTGTGCAAGGAAGCTTGGCCTTCCCCTGGGGCCAGCAAGGTCCCTGGGCACCTGTTCCCAGGCTGCCCCTCCTGCACGCTCCCCTCCCCCACCACCCAACCTGTCCACCTACTTGTGGCCCCGAACATACCTGATGCGGCCAGCCAGCAGCATGGCCAGCAGGCACAGGAGCAAGCCCAGAGCCACCACACCAATCTGGTGACTCTGCCCAAAGGCCCAGACTTCACGCAGCTTCTCAGCAGCGGGCTCAGGCAGCAGGCTCAGCATCTGCTGCCAGCCCTCAGCCCCGGGGACGGTGCCATTGTCTGGCGCAGAGGAGCTGTTGCCACCAGGCGGCAGGGCTGGAGGCAGGGCCGCGCCTGGGGTGAAGGGGTCGCTGGGGCCGTACAGCGCAGTGGTCAGCAGGAAGGCACAGGCCAGGAAGGCGAGGGTGCGCAGCAGGATGACCTGGACTGGGGCCTTCACCGCAGAGGGGGAAAAGCTCTGAGGGCAGAAAAAACAGCCAGTGAGAGGCCCGAGGGAACCCCATCGCCCTGCTCCTGGGCCCAAACCTCCCGCAGCAGCTCTGGTAAGGAAGGTTCTGTTCTACCACTCTCTGATCCTTTTCTTTTTACATTTTTTTTTTTTAATTGGAGAGGCAGATTTACATAGAAGGAGAGAGAGAGAGCGCTTCCACCTGCTGGTTCACTCCCCAAGTGGCCACAATGACCAGAGCTGAGCTGATCTGAAGCCAGGAGCTTCTCCTGGGTCTTTCATTGTAGGTGCAGGGTCCCAAGGCTTCGGGCCATCCTCTGTTGCTTTCCCAGGCTACAGGCAGGGAGCTGGACGGGAAGTGGAGCAGCTGGGATGTGAAGCAGTGCCCTTATGGGGTGTTGGCTCCAAATGCGTAGGATTAGCCCACTGAACCACTGTACCGGCCCCTCTTCTATTTATTTTCAAAAACACTTTTCATTTGTTTCACCTGAGAAGCGGAGGCCCCCAGTCAAGAAGTCACAGTATCACCGGCCGTCAGGAGTTGAGGCCAGTGCTCCCTGACGGGCAGCAGGAAGCCAGGCCTGGAGCCCAGGCATCTCAAGGGGCATCTTCAGCTCTCCATCAGATGCTCCAAGAGAATCTGCTGCACGTGATCACCCTTTACCGCCCCAAACTTCCACTCGCGCCCTCAGACCGCCACCAAACACTCTGTAATCTTACGGAACAGACTGATATCCTTGGCAAAGTTACATGGAAGTACTGTCCTGGCACAGGCTGAGCTCCTGGCTCCTCTTGGCACGGCCTCGCCCACTGGGGGCATCTGGAGAGCGAAGCAGTGGATGGAAGCTGGCCATCTGTTCACCTCTGTCTTTGAAATACAATGAATGAACAACAGGTACCAAGGTCAGGGTTAGGCCCGCCTGGGGCTCTGGGCTCCGTGTGTCTGAGAGCTGCCCCGACTTCTAAGTTTACCTGCTGTTTTGTCCAAATGCTGAAAATCCCTAGAACAGGCCAGTACCTGAATACCCAACAAAGGTGGTCCTGGGCTCACACGCTGACACCACTGCACAGCAGGTGCTCAGCCCAGGTGTGTTCTTGGCCTCCTTGAGGGGGGCTGCCTCAGCTTTACAGGGGTGCCATGAGGGCTGCTACAAGGAACATGTACAATGGTGCTGGGACAGTGCCCAATGGGGCCAACCACAAATCCCACACCTCTGTGCTGCTCTGTCTGCAGGGATGCAAACAGCAAGGGCCGCGGACACTGGTGACCACATTGGGGAATGCCCACTGGCCTGTACAGCAGATGGGAACAGGCCTCTGGGTAGGACAAGGACTCGGTGCAGAGGAGTCCCCCTCCCCCCCCCGCCAGGCTGGCCTGTGGAACAGCTGTGGTGCCTATCCCCGCACCTCAAGGAGGAGCATTCCTATCCACTCCACTTTGAATCCAGCTCCTTGCCTATGCATCTGGGAAAGCAGCAGCAGATGGCCCAAGTACTAGATGGAAGCCCAGGCTCCCGGCTCTGGCCTGGCCCAGATCCGGCCATGATGGCTTTTCTGTGGGGTGAACCAATGGATGGAGACCTCCTTGTTCTGCTGACTCTCCCTCCAACTCTGCCTTTCAAACAAATCTTTTGCAAAAGGAAGAGCTGCCCTCCAGCTGCTGGGGTCGGTCCAGGTGAGGGGAGGCTGCCCCTCTCCCACGCGTGCCTGTGGATGCCCAGCGGACCTGCATGTAGGTCTGGTCGGCCTCTCGGCGTCTGAACTGGTGGCTGAGCAGCAGGGCGCGCAGCTGGCGGTTCTGGTACTTAATGTAGTACTCGACGGCTGCCTGGCACGGCCGGCACAGCTTGTACAACTGCTCTAGGTGGTGCCGGAACACCTCGATCTCCTCGTCGTACCTGTCCTGCGGGGCAGCACACACGGGCTTGGCATCTGGGGGCAGGCCTGGCCTTGGCACTTCCAAGGGCAGGTTGTCCCTGCTGTGTGGGCTCCTGGCAGGGCAGAGCTCAGGGGAAGGGGACTCTGGGCACTGGGAAGCAGGGCCTGCCTGCCTTTCCCCTGGCTGAGCCTCAAGGGTTCTTCGGGCTTCCAGAACAGTCTGGAATCAAGTCCGTCCTGACTTCCCCTCAGGGCAGCAATGGGGCCTTATTCCCCATTTGCAAAAGAGGCCAACCATCAGTCTGCAGGACCTCCCAGCACAGACCTAGTGAACTCAGAAAGCTGCCTGGTGTCAAGCCCCTCGTTTCCTGCTGGCCTGAGACCACCTGGTTCGCCCCCTTCCCTCCTGGGCTGCACCAGGATTTGCCTGGCGAGATGAGGGGTGCCGGGGCAGGTGGGAGCAGCCAGGGACAGGGGTCTTGGGGTTCCATAGTGGTCCCGAGGCAGAAGCCACCCCCAGTTCAGCTCACCTGGCCCAACGTCAGGATGGCGCCAGCACTGCCCTTCCTTCCTCACCCAGGAGGTAGGGGCTCCCCAGCAACTTTGAACCAACTGCCAAAGGCATACTGAACTTGGAAGGGCGAGGGCAGGACATGTCCCAAAGACCCTCCCTGCTGGGAAGCAGGGGGCTTCCATGGTGTACCCAGGTTTGTAATCCAGACAGCAGCAACAGCAATTATGGGGGAACAAGTTCAGCTTGAAGATGGGAACATCTCAGACCTGCGTGTGGGGGCAGCCTGTGTCCCTGCTGCGAGTGCTCGCAGCCCAGGGGGCAACCTCACCTCCTCGCGTGGTGCAAAGGCAGCCAGCTGCTTGATCTTGGTGGTTTGGTGGTGGCTGCACCTCTTACACAGCAGCACCTGGCTGCTGACCCACTGCTGTGGCTGCGGCGGGTCGTGGCGGCTGGGGGTGCTGCTCACCACGTGGTTCAGGTGCTCCATGTACTGGGCAGGGATCGGCTTGTTGTAGTCACCGTTCTAGGGCAGGGGAAGGAACTCCGTCAGCAGTGGGCAGGGCAGCCCTTCAGCTAGAATGGGACGGCCCAGGAAGTGCACCTGCTCTTTCTTCACTTGCCTCCCACAAGCCTGCGTGCTAAGGAGTGAAGCCCCCCACGCCACACCCCACCCCCCCAGGATCCCTCAGAGCTCAGACTGCAAAGGGTAGGGTGGAGCAGGGGTTGGCAACCCATGGCTTGTGGGGGACTGCCTGCTATGCAGTGTTACAGGACACCAGGCTTGCTCCTTCTCATCTGGGCCCAGAGACCATACATCCCCAACGCCAGCTGGCCCTGCAGGAAGTGCTGGCTGCTGCCCTAGTGCAGAGCTGGGGAGAGCTGGTGTGCACCCCACAGTGGCACCTCTTGCAAAGCGACTCCCAACAAGCTGCTGTCGTTCTCAAGCATGGTTCCTTTGCCTTAAACGAAGGAGCAGAGCCGGGACAGTGGGTGCAAGGGGTGGGGACGCGACAAGGGAGCAGGTGGTGTCTGTGCAGGCCTCACCTCCTGGAAGCCGTTGTACTGCTCACAGTGGGGGCAGTCCCAGCAGTTGCGGTTCCCGTAGGGCACCAGCGTGTCCTGGTTGCAGAACCAGCAGTTGACCATAATGTGTGTCGGTTTCATCCTGCAGGTCGAAGGACACGAGGTAAGCTGGTGGACTGGCCTCTAGGGGCCTCCCGAGCTGCAGTGGGCCAAGCTGCCAGCCCTTAAGACCTCTCAAAGCACCCCTGGGATATGGCTGGTCCCCCTCTCAGAGGGCATTATGGCATGTCCAGGATCAGGGCCTGTTTCAGGACCACCCCTCCCTCATGGGCAGGGTGCTGGTCCCAGGATGCAAGGAGTCTGGCTGGAAGTTGCTGGGTGGACAGGTGACAGCTGCTCCTTCCCTGGCAGGGGTGACCAGGGAGCCCACACTGTCCTTTGCTGGACACATGCACAGCGACAGGTGGGGCCTGGGGATAATCCCAGCCCAGACACTGTGGGCTCTGTGCTCCAGCCACTGCCAGCTGCTGTGCTGCCTATGCGGTGCCCTGCCCTTAAGGCTCAGGATCCTGGGCACAGGCCACAAGCAGCAGCTGCTTAAGCCTTGGAGTCCTGGCCTTGTTACCCAGCCCCCTGCTCAGGCCACCTCCCTCCTGGGAACACTGCCTGGGCCCTGGCAAAGTCAGAGCTGCCCCTGTCTGTGGCCCAGCTGACTGCAAGGCCAGACAACACAGCCCTAGAAAGCAGGACACAGCCAGTGTCCCCTCCTGGATGTGTGCTCTCAGCACGTGCTTCGTCCCCCGTCCATAGTGGTGAAGTGGGAGCAACTACAGCACCCACATTTACCCAGAAGCCCAGCCCTGCCCTCCAGCCTCCTGCTGCAGTGGGCACCGCTGCCTGGCCTTGCCCTCCACTTTCGGCCTCTGACCATTTGCAGGCTAAGGGAGTTCTTGTTACCTCTCAGCTGGGGACCAGCACATCCGCCCCGCCCCCTCAGGACCGTTTTAGAAGACTTTAACAGGAGCAGGACTTGTGGCATAAATGGGTTAAATGGCACCCCAAAGCAGAGCGCCAGTTCTGTCTGGCTCCTCCACTTCCAATCCACTCCCTGCTAACACACATGGGAAGCAGTGACGGGTCAAATGCCTGGGAATCACCCCAGGGACACCAGGCAGATCCGACGCCTGGCTTTGGCATGGCCTAGACTTTGTTGTGTGGGTATTTATTATTATTACTTATTTTTCATTGGCAAATCAGATATACAGAGAGGAGGAGAGACAGAGGAAGATCTTCTGCCCATTGATTCACTCCCTAAGTGGCCACAATGGCCAGAGCTGAGCCGATCCAAAGCCAAGAGCTGGGAGCATCTTCTGGGCCCCCCACGCGGGTGCAGGGTCCCAAGGCTTTCGGCCGTCCTCGACTGCTTTCCCAGGTCACAAGCAGGGAGCTGGATGGGAAGAGGAGCCGCCGGGATTAGAACCGGTGCCCATATGGGATCCTGGCGTGGGCAAGGTGAGGACTTTAGCCACTAGGCTACCGCACAGGGCCACTGTGTGGGTATTTGGGAAGTAAATTTCATGTCACTGATGCTCTGCTTTTCAAATAGGTGAAAATAAACATTTTTAAAAAGTGCTCAGTGGAGCCTGGAGCAGAGTGTCAGCAAGTGGGGACAAAAAAGGACACATCTGTGCCCACACCTCACCTCGCCCAGAAGCGGGCACCATGTCTGTCAGCAGCACAGGGCTGGAGACAGCACACTGGGGTGGGGGCGTCACAGGAGTGCTGAGCCCCCTCCCCAGAGAGCCACGGGGTATCCCATGGGTGACTGCAGACTGTGCTGCTGGCCAGGCAGTAGGCTGAACTCTATGCCTGCAGCCAGCATCCCTGGGCAATCAGGCACCTGCTCTCGACTAAACTGTGCTGTTTGATGAGCTCTATAACTGTGTGTGAGGTGTGTCCTGACTGCTGCCTACCAGCCCGGGGAGTTCTCTGTGGCCTCACCACCCCCGTGCCAGGGATGCTCCCACCAAGCAGCCTGATGGGCAGCCCCTCGCCCTCTCCCCGAGTCTGAGGGGGATGGCCAGTTCTTGCAACCAGCGACAGCCAGCAGGGCACTGCTGGGAATCCCCACTGCACCAAGAAGTCCACTTCTTCTCTGAACATCAGTGCTGTCACTGCAGAAAGGGATCTTTATGGGCACAGCTGGCCTGGCAGGGTAGTCTGGGGCTAAGACCTTTCTCCCCAGGGTCTGGCGGTGCCAGCTCTTGTCCCTCACAGCTATCGGTAATTCCTACGGAGCTCAGGTGAGGGCTGGCACTCACTCTCCCTCTACCACGTGGCAGCTGTCCACCCGGCCTGTGGAGTCTCCGACTTCCTCGGAGAAGGCCTGGTCCACGGCTTCATTGAGTCTGGTCTTGCTCAGGGACCTGCAGATGGGACTGCTCTTTAACTGGATCGCTTTGTATGGCCCACAAATAACATGAGCCTCCAAATGGCCCTTGGCAGGAGAAAGGTTTCACAGCTCTGCTGAAGGCTGGAGACAGCGAGAGAGGCTGATGGACCAGGAGGGGCTCAGAGCCTGTTTCCGTGACGCGCTGTTCTGATAGCAGTCTCATACAAACTTCCCAAGCCACAGGTGCCACCTCCATCCCAAACAGACCAGCCTGGCAGCCCAGGCCTCTGCTCAAGAAAACACTCCCATGCCACCCTCCCCCCCAACACGGCTTGGGGCAGAAATTCCGCTTGGCAGACAAGGTTTGAGGCAAGAGACCAATGTCCAGGTTACAGCTGAGAAAGGAAGCCGAGCCCAAGCCTGGCCCATTCTGGCCAGGCTCTTCTCCCAGCTCCTGCTATCTCCAAGCTAAGCCCCTGGCAGCCTCAGGATCTAACTCCGGGACAGGGTCACAGGCATCCAGGGCATCCCTGGAGGCCGACGTTCCCATCAGCTCCTGGGCAGTGTGTGCCTCTGCAGAGAGGGGCGTGAACAACTCTGCCAGGCTAGCTCTCTCGGAGCCCAGCAATCTGGAGATCAGCTGTGCCAGGGCCCCAAAAGGACAACCTGGGACAGCTCCAAGTGGCCCCTCACTTGCTCCTTGGCACTGGGGGTGGGCGACACAGCATGCCCCATCTGACTGTGGGGTCAGAGAAGGTGCACGCTGGCCAAAGGACAATCAGGAGGGCCAGGACAATGGGTCCTGGCCCCAAAGCAAAGCACACAGCCTACGGCGCGACACGAGGGCAAAGAGCAGCCCCGCACAGCTGAACCACCTGATCACTACCAAGCACTGCGCTGGCTGCGCAGAGATGGCAGACGAAGCAGGACACTCCTGGGTCAGCCCCGAGGACGAGGGCAGCACACGGGCAGCTGGCAAGGCGCCACAGGGAGCCACCATTGGGACACCTGCTGCCACTCTGAAGAGCGGGTGACATGCCAGCAGGGCAGAGGAGGGGATTGCCCAACAGCAGAGGGGACTCTGAACCTGGGGACACTCTGCTGCATCACCTGGGGGCTGTGCCCTCCCCAGCCCCAAATGCCAGCACTGCTGAGGCTCCTGAGGGGCTGGGGCTGGGCCCGCTGAGGGACAAAGACCCGACTGAGCAAGAGTTGGGGGGTGCATGGCACAGGAAGCTCCCAATCACCACGCCTGCTAGCCAGAGCTCTGCAAGGCAGGCAGCCCTCACCTTGCCCAGCCTTTGTCCTCTCCTCCGTACAATGGGAGAACAGCAGCCTTTACCCCAGGTGGGGCTGCTGCCCGATCCATGGGTGGCAGCGATCTCATGCCCGTGGCATGTTGCCAGCATCGAAACGTCAGCTGCTCCACTGCAACTGACACCATCAGGGGCTCATGACTCCATGGTGGGAAGCCAGGGGTGGCACCCTTACCCCTGCACACTCTGAAAGTAGAGGTGGGAGCTAGCGAAGTCTGCACTCCTCATATCGGGGTCCCTGCTTGCCCCTCAACTCTGCAGTAAACCTGCCAGCAGCACCTGGCCAAGCCACCTCACAGCCAAGAACTGTCCCTTCAGCCTCTCCACACTGTGGCCACAGCCACGCACGCTGGCATGTCCAGTGCCATGCGGGCACATCTGAGGAGATGCCAGCAAAATCCTGCCTTTCCACTACCACGCTAGGACCCCAGGGGGTCGCCGACCAGGGAGAGGACATACAGGCACCACTAGCTACCCAGCACCTGTTGGGTAAAGGGAAAGCCTGTGTTGGGGCAGGCAAGACCCCAAGGGCAGCCACAGCGCCAAGACCCAGGGAGTAAACGCTGGCGTCGCCACTGCAGACAGACCTCCCCCCATCCTGGGCTCTTGGCGTCCATCTGAGCAAATCCTGTCTCCCCCTGGGAGGAGACCCCTTCTGTAGGGCACAGGTCGAGCTAGCCACCCTCCCACCTGCTTCTCCCCTCGGAATTCCTCCTCCAGGAAAGGAACAGAATCGCCGGTCGGACGGCCAGGGTTCAAGTCCCAGCTTAGCCCTGCGCTGCGCGGCTGGGGGCACATTCCCACGTGTGCCCCTTCCCCAGCTCAGCGTCTCACCCGCCTCGTCCAGCGCCTAAGCCGTTCTCAGGACACCGCCCCCTTGGCCCCGAGGGAAGGGAGGCACGGAAGCGGCCGCGGAGCCGGGCTGGGAAACGCAGGCTCCAGAGACGCGCATCCCCCGGGCTTCCGCGGCCTGGTCCGGGCAGAGGGGCCCGCTCCCGCAGGTGCCCCGCGCCGGCTGCGTGCCCGCCCTCCCTCCTCCTCCTCCTCCTCCTGGGGCGTCTGAGCAAATCCTCTCGTCTCTCCCCCGGGAGGAGGGGAGGGCCGAGGGAGGGCCGCGTGAGCCGGGCCCGCGCACTCACCTCCGCGCGATCCGGTAGAGCAGCACGCCGGCCGCGGCGCACGCCGTGAGTCCCAGGCCGCCAGCCAGGCCGGCCGTGGGGTAGCGGGCCAGCAGCGCGCTCACGCCCTCCATGGCGTGGGCAGCGGGCGGCGGGCGGCGGGCGGCGGGCTGCGGCGGGAGGTCGGCAGTCGGGGCGGCGACAGCGCGCCTGCTCGCGCCGTGACCTTCGCCGCTTTGTAGCCGGCGCGCGGGCCCGCCCTCCCCGGCTCGGCGCGCTCCCGCCGCTCAGCCAATCGGGGCGCGGGACTAGCCTGGGTGGGCGGGGCGCTGGGGGAAGCCGCGGCGACTCCGCGCGGCCAGAGGCGGAGGTGGCGCGCGACCCTGCTGGGAAGCCCCGCCCCTCCGGAACGCCCAAGCCACGCCTCCCGCGGCGCCTGCGCCTGCGCAGTCCCGGACCTGCAGCTGCAGCGGTGCAGGCCTGGGGGTTCTCGTGCAACCCCACGGAACGTGTCCGCGTTCGCCCCCTGTTGTAATCTGCCTCTCTGCTGCGGATCCCGTCTGCGACCTCTGCGATATGAGCTGTTGGGCTTTCAAGTGCCAGCTCCTTAAGGCATTCCATTGGTTACAAAATAGGCTTCTAACGTCCGCACACAGGGACGAGGTTGAGTGACCCTGGGACAAAGGCAGCCATTATAAAGAGGTATTGGCTTGGAACGGCGATACCCTTGTTTGTCCTTTGAAAGGCAGCATGTGAAAAAAACATTTTTGAATGTGTTCCGTGTCGGTTGATAATGAACTGCAAACTGCGTTTGGGGGCTGGGATTGTGTGCTGGATTTCAGTTGAATTAAGAATTTCACAAAGCTAGTAGAAATCTAATTGCACAATGCGTTAGGGTTCCACAAGGTCCCCGTGTTTTCTGAAGTCAATGATGTCGGGTGAGAGGTTTTGCTGCAAGATGCTACGTGCGCCATCAGGAGGTAGAAGGAGGAAGTGACCGGAAGCTGAAGAGAGGACATCCCTCCATTCCTGAAGGCCAGTTCCAGAGCCAAGACTCCCCGGCGGCCGTGCTGCCTCTAGCTGCTGGGGCAAGGTGCCAGCTTCCAGAAAACCTGGCTGTTCTCTTGGTCTGAGGCCCACTCAAAGGGCTCAGGGCCGCGTGGCAAAAGCGTGCGGCCAGCAGTGTCCAGCCGAAGGTGTGCGCATGCTGACCCGCGCTGTTGTCTGTGGATGCGTGCCTCAGGTGAACAGTACAGAACTGGCTTGGGGGCCGCCCCTCCAACAAGCCATGCTCTGAGTTGCTTTTCTTACAGTGCAGATCACACAGCCACCTGCCTGCCTGTCCTCCAGAGCTGTCAGGATTTAAATGAGAAAATACCCCAACACTTTGTGGAATACGTGCCATGCACGGGGCGTGCTAGGCGGGCCCATAATATATGCATCATGTAAAGATAAACGCAAATGACTAAGCTTTGGAGAGGAGAACGTGAATGTGGGATCTGTGCCATGCTTCCTGCAATCCCCTTCACAGTGTGGTATCCTCCCTCGCTCTTGGCGCATCTCGGAGTGCTCAAGATTCTAAGACCTGGTGCAGAAGTGGGCAGCTACGCAGCAAATGAAAACTAAGCAATATAACTTATTTTCGACTTGGAAGGTAGAGAAAAAACTTCAACCTCCCATTGCCCTGGTTCAGCCGCACAGTAAGCAGGGTTGGGCTAGACAAAGAACCAGAAGTCCCGGACTCAGCCAGTCAGTCTCGGTACAGCTTGGTAGAACCCAGCACAGGCCTGGCCTCACAGGGCATGGCCACTCGCCTGCTGCATCCCATCTGCAAGGCTGGGTCCAGCTGCGCTGTCCCTGTTCTCACACCAGGACCAAAATCATGGATACAGTTTCTTTTTCTTCCTTCCCTCCCTCCCTTGATCTTATTTATTTTCATTGCCAATTTACATATGCAGAGATGAGGAGAGACAGAGAGGAAGATGATTCACTCCTCAAGTGGCCACAATGGCCGGAGCTGAGCCGATCCAAAGCCAGGAGGCAGGAGCTCTTCCAGGTCCCCCACGTGGTTGGAGGATCCCAAGGCTTTCGGCCGTCCTCAACTGCTTTCTCAGCCCACAAGCAGGGAGCTGGATGGGAAGTGGAGCTGCCAGGATTAGAACTGGTGGTGCCCTATGGGATCCTGGTGCGTTCAAGGCGAGGATTTTAGCCGCTAGGCCACTGTGCCGGGCCAAAGATTTATTTATTTTTGCTGGAAAGTCAGATCTACAAAGAGGAGGAGAGACAGAGAGATCTTCCCAAGTTTCTGCAATGGCCGGAGCTGAGCTGATCTGAATCTAGGAGCCAGGAGCTTTTCACAGGTTTCCCACATGGGTGAAGGGTCCCAAGGCTTTGGGCTGTCCTCGACTGCTTTCCCAGGCTAGAGGAGGAAGCTGGATGGGAAGTGGAACAGCTGGGATACAAACTGGCACTCACATGGGATCCTAGCACATTCAAGGTGAAGACGTTAGCCACTAGGCTACCGTGCTGGGCCCCTACAGAGAGTTCTTTAAGGCTGCTGTATCTGCTGCAGTGGTTAGGGTGCCACGTGGGATGGCCCATTCCATATCAGAGTGCCTGGGTTTGAATCCTTGCTGGGCTTCCCATCCCAACTTGCCATAAACCTACACCCTATGAGGCACCAGGTTAGAGCTCAGGTAACTGGGTGCCGCAGGCACAGGGGAGACCCACACTGAGGGGCAGGCGCCTCTTGTGCGCATTGGGGAGTGAACCAGCAAACAAAGATCTCTCTGCCTTTCAAATACGTAAGTATACATTTTAACAGCTCCTGCCTGCTTCGGCCAGTGCGAGCTGGAATGGGGGCAGAGTGGGCCATGCCAGGCTACAGTGCTCACCAGCAAATGCCGAGGTGACACAGCCCACTCTAGACTGTACAGCTGCACCCATCAGCACACGTGATCATGCTGGTGTGAACGGGAACAGGGGGGCAGACCAAGCTGGGCAGGGCTGCAACACCTGTTGGCCTACATGTGAACTGGGTTAGGAGGAGCCAGCTTGAGCTAACCGACTGCATCCACCATTACAGGCGTGAGTCATAATAAGGGCAGGCGGGTTGGGCTTTGCCGCAGCATCAGCTGGCAAGTGCTGGGACTGGGGACAAGTCCTGTTGAGCCAGACTGCAGAACCATGTGGAAAGTGCAAGACCTGGGGCAGGGAGTGGGTCCAATGGGGAGGTTGTAGGCTCTTCTCTGCAAGTCTCACTGGTGAGCCTGAGAACCAGGACTGGGGGCAGACCTGTCTGGATGGGCAGTGGCACCCACCGGCATGAGTGTGTTCTGGATAGCGGAGTTGGTTGGGCTGAGTTAGGCTTCAGTGCTCAATGATGTACACGAGATCTCAATGGGATTGGACTAGTCCACCGCACATGCTGGAATGTACAGGAACCACAGCTGGGGAGGCCAGTCCAGTGGGGGTCACTGGAAACTGCTGTGACTGGGCTGCAGCTCCCCCTGTGGTATGTGGGGGCCGGGCATGTATTGGACAGAGCTGGGTTGGTCCGCAGCACCCATTGGTTTGCTGAGGAAGAACAAACTGATCAACTATCCCAGCGAAGCTTGACAGCAAGCACCTGGGTTAATGAAGACTCGGAGGTGGACTCGGACAGCCAGTTGACCTTGGAAGGATTGAAGGATTTTCTCATCCTTGGAGCAGGGATAGCAGCAGCATCTCAGAACTATGGAAACCACATGAGCAGAACCTTCCGAAGATCCTCCACAATGGGGAGCCTGGAATGGCATCGGGTGGCAGTGCCCCACCCTCGGGGATGCAGCAGTTGGGAGGTGGGCGTGCCTTCTCCTCTTGTACCTCCCTCTCCCCCATAAAGAAGAAAATGTGTGAACAATGTTATCACCCACTGTGCCCTGATCCTCAACACTTCCCACCCTGATCAACTGTGTAAATAAAATTCAAAAAAAGAAAGGGGAAGAAGGGGGAGAAAAGAAAAAGCTCCTGCCTTTGGGTCCAACAAAGAAAAAGAAGTTAACTCTAGGAAGATGCTTGTAGCTTAAAAATATTTAGTGTCAAAGGTGGCCTGGCTTGTGGCATAGTAAGTCAAGTTACGTGGGACGTCTGCACTCTGTATGAACTGCAGTTCAACTCCCAGCTCTGGGCCCGGCACGATACCCGACTGGCCGGAGTCCTCACCTTGCATGCCGGGATCCCACGTGGGCATCGGCTGGTGTTCCGGCTGCCCCACTTCCCACCCAGCTCCCTGCCTGTGGCCTGGGAAAGCAGTCAAGGACAGTCCAAGGACTTGGGACCCTGCACTTGCATGGGAGACCTGGAAGAAACTCCTGGCTTTGTATTGGCTCAGCTCTGGCTGTTGCGGCTACTAGGAGAGTGAACCAGCAGACAGATCTGTCTCTCCTTTCTGTAAATCTGACTTTCCAGTGAAAATCTTGGGAAAAAACAAATCCCAGTCCCTCCGTTTCTGATGCCGCTTCCTCCTAGTGTGCCTGGTAAAGCAGTACAGGATGGCTCAAGTACTTGGACTCCCGTATCCACAGGGGAAACCCAGAAGTCATTTCTGGCTCCTGACTTTGGGCTTGGCGCAGACACAGGAGTGTTGAGAGGATGGAAGATGTCCTCGCTGTCACTCTGTTTTACTTCTTTCTTTTTATAATTTTAATTGGAAAGGCAGATTTAGAGAAAAGGAGATAACGATCTTCTATCTGCTGGCTCAAGTGGCCACAATGGCCAGAGCTGAGCAGATCTGAAGCCAGGAACCACGAGCTTCTTCCTGGTCTCCCATGGGTGCAGGGTCCCAAGGCTTTGGGCCGTCCTCAATTGCTTTCCCAGGCCACAAGCAGGGAGCTGGATGGGAAGTGGAGCAGTTGGGACACGAATGGGTGCCCATATGGGAAGCCTATGCTTGAAGGGGCAGGTCAGCCAACTGAGCCACCAGGCCAGGCCCATCAATCTGCTTTTCAAACAAGTTCTCTCCCAGTCACTCTGCCTTTCAAATAAAGTATGTTTTCAAAAAGTTTGTTTCTTATTAGCATCCCAAAAACAGATCATTAATCTATGTGGAAAACTTGGAGGAAGAGAGCTGGGAAGTTGGTTCTGTCCCACTGGCAAAAGACCAGTAAGACAGATTAGAAAGCAATCTGCATTTCAACTTTATTGTTTTCAATTGAGTTCTTGGTCATGTTTTGTGGAAATACAGAAGTCCACAGCTTGCTTACAGTACTATACACCATAAAAGAGGACACACCAAGAATACACTAAAATTAAATAGCATGATTTAATTTAGTTAATGTTTAATCCTGAATTCTCTTAAGTTAAAAAAAAAGTTATAATTAACTATTAATGTTAATGAATTGAAACCTTCCAGAAAGCACGAATCCAAAAGGACAAGTCCAGGAGGCGATACAAGCCAGTTACTTTACGGCTGGTTTCAGTCTCAGACATCCTAAACATCAGTGGGGAAAAAGCTCTCGAGTTGGTCTGCTTGCGTCATGCCGAGCGCAGCTCTCGGGCCTGCTACTGGCTGCGGTCCTCCAGCAGGTACACGATGAGCTCGTAGGTGGACAGCACGATGGCCGTGTTCGGGATCTGCCGGATGAGCTGGGCGAAGAGCCCTCGGTAGAAGGCGAGGTAGCCCTCCTCCCGGAACACCAGGCGCGCCGTCTGCACAAACGTCTGGTACTTGGTGCCTTCCTCCCGGAGCCGTGTCCTGATGACCTCTGTGGGGACACAAGCATCCACTTCATGCCTTGAGTGACGGTGGGCACTGAAAGGACAGCGAGCTCACAGGACCCACTGCCAAGGGACTGCCTGTCTGCCCGCTCAGTTTTATTTGACAGGACGATCTAGGAGATGGAGGTGTGGGAAAGTCCTGCCTCCCCGACCAGCTACCCGCTGGAGCCCTTCCTGCTCCCCACCCCTGCGCCTCCTGTCTCAGCCTCTGCCCAGCACGCACGGAGACCAAGGATCTGTTCCTGCTCAGCTGACCCTCTGCACTGGTCACAGCAGACGGAGCAGCAGCTTCTCAGAACACCTGCTCTCCATGGCACAATGAACTGAACTTTTCTCTTTTTTCACAGGTCACTGTGGTAGTAATTTTATAATTAAGAACAGTGGCAGGTGTTTGGCATGGTGCCAGTTAAGATTCTTGCAAAGCAGTCTGGGTTCAAGTCCCAGTTTCAAGCCTGACCCCAGCTGCCTGCCAACAGACTCCTGCCATCTATGTGGGAGGACATGACTTCAGTTCCCAGCCTCTGGCTTTGGGAAGTGAAGTGGCAAATGGGAGCTCCCTCTCTGCCAAATTAATAAACTTAATTGAGGGCTGGCATATCACGTTAATCATTTGTTGCAGTGCTGGCGTTGCATAGGGATGCAGGTTTGAGTTCTGGCAGATCCAATTCCTTTAAAGAAATTATTTTTATTGGAAAGGCAGATTTACAGAGAGGACAGACAGATAGAAAGATCTTCAGTCTGTACATTTACTCCCCAAGTGGTTGCAGGGACCCAAAGCCTTGGGCCATTCTCTACTGCTTTCCCATACTACAAGCAGGGAGCTGGATGGGAAATGGAGTAGCCAGGACACGAACAGGTGTCCATATGGGATCCTGGGGGATACAAGGTGAGGATTTAGCTACTGAGTCATTGTACCAGACCCAGGCAGCTCCACTTCCCATCCAACTCCCTGCTTGTGGCCTGGGAAAGCAGTCAAGGACGGCCCAAAGTCTTGGGACCCTGCACCCATGAAAGACTGGGAAGAAGTTCCTGGCTCCCAGTATTGGATCTGCCCAGCTCTGATCATGTGACCATGTAGGGTGTAAGCTGCAGATGGAAGATCTTTCTCTGTTTCTTCCTCTCTCTGTGACTCTTTCAAGTAAAATAAATACGTATTTGGAAAATAAATGAATAACTAAACTTAGTCCAGAAGCTTACTCAGCAGCCAGTCCAGGTGGATGCTATGCTGTTTCCAAGTTTGGCTCTGCATCACTTTTGTGAATCAAGGAATTTTAAATAAATGCAGGCTCCTGGCTTCCCCGAGAGTGGGGACGTTGTGCACAGCAGGGCCACAGTGTGCACAGCACCTCGAGCACCAGCAGCCAGGACTGAGGAGGCAGAGCTCCCAGCACTGCAGGTCTGTGGGCTGACACGCAGTTTCACTCAGTCACGCTCCCCTGACCTGCAGGGGGAGGCGGAAACTCTTTTTTCCACAAGCACAATGGTAAAATCAGAAATGTTCTGAGCAACGACATGATGTTCAAAGAGTGTCTGGCCTCCTAACATTCTGGATTTTGGGATTTGGAATGCTCAAGTGGTTGTCTAAGCAGGTCACTGGAAACACCCCGGTCCCAAGCATTCCGGCCCGGCAACATGCGCCAGAGGCGGTCACCGCTGACTGTGCGGGCAGGGGAGGGCAGACCGTACCGTGCGGGTAAGCAATACAGGAAGCGCATCCTTTGGAGAAAGCAGCAGCTGCCATAAGTCCAAGAAAACTTGCGGAATTTTTCTCAGTTCCGTTTGCGGAGGAGGCTAAGGGAGCTTCTTTCAGATACTTCTTCAAACTTTCATAAATAGCAAAGCAGATGATGGTCTCTGAAATGCCGGCGTACGAGGCGGTCAGTCCTCGGTAGAAGCCCCGGATGCCTTCGGTCTGGTACACGTGCTGTGCACACTGCAGGGTGCCCCTCTGCTTGGAGCCCCTCACTCTGCAGAGAGGAAGGACAGGTCAGCAGCAGTGCCAGCTTGCGAGAGCAGCACCAAGCACACGCACAGTCACAGGCTGCATGGACACATCTTCGGGGTGCTGTGCTCAGTGAGCCTGGCCCACTGGGAGGACAGGCCTGTGAGTGGGGCCGCCCGACAGGCCCAATGGACATCTGTGTCAGGGGTCATCAAAACAGGTGCACGGCCTGTGACCTAGAAAGAGCTAGATGGACCATGATGTTCCTCCCAGAGGAAATGGAACTGTAATATAGTCAGAACAATCCAAACATCTAAACGCAGGAGGAGATAAGAAGCCTCAAGTTCACATGCGAGATTACAGTGACCACCACAGCAGCGACAGACTTGTGTTGGCAGCATGACAAAAGCATGAATGAAGTGTAATTACAATTATGATGTAAAAATGCTGTAGGAAAACTCACCAAAGATTCTGACAGATTAAAATAAGAGTGCTCTTTTTCATTCATTCATTCATTGAGAGACACTATTCCTACCCACAGATTCACTCCCCAATGTACTCAACAGGCAGGACTGGGCTGAGCTGGAAACCCGGCCAGGGCAGGCCCACGGGCACGAGCTCCCCCTGGCCCACGTGAGCAGGAAGCGGGGGAGCAGCAGCAGCTGGGACAGACTCAAGCTGCTGCCGGTGGAATGCGGATATCCTAACCACAGGACCAAAATGCCTGGTGTGTGCGTTCTCAGTCTTGTCCTTCTTGTCTCTGAATGCTCCATTCTCGTTCTGTTATTTCCAAATTTGTAAAATTATGATCCCAGAACAGGCTATGACAACACTCTGTGCCATGGGCAGGAGCAAGGTGCTGCTCCCTGGCCCCGGGCAGCTTGTACCCCTTGAGTGGCCGTGGCGTTTCCCCTGGTCAGTGTAGACTGGGGACCCTACAGGCTGCTTTAACTGGCCCCTCTCCCTTCTTCCTCATGTCCTCCCAGAGGCAGTTCTCACAGCCCAGCTGGAACAACCTTTCACACAAAGTCCAACCATGCTTAAAACCTGCAGTACGTGGCTCTTCCTGCTTGGTATACTGACCCCTGGGTGAGATGGCCTTTGTCGGCAGGGCTACGGATACCGAAGAGCACCAAATTAACCTGCAGCTACTAGCAATATCTCCAGGGCTGTGTGACTGAGGTGGTGGGCAGGACACCCCACCCTGGAGTAGCAGCTTCCTGCCCACGTGCACCCAGGGAGACAGCAGGGGACGGCTGAAGTGCTCGGGAGACCAGGAATGAGTTTCCAGCACCTGAAAGATCTCTTGGTATTTCTTGCTCTCTGTAACTCAACTTTTCGAATAAACAGAAAAGAAGGTAAATGAGAGAGAAAGAAAAGAAAAAAGAGAAGAAAAAAGAGAAATAAAGAGAGAAGTTCTGGTGAGTTTCAGAACAGAAATCCAGTGTGAGGTAGTGCCATGTGTGAGATAACTGCCCTCCCGGGCCTGAGGGCACTCGCTGTTCTCTCCCTGGCATCATTTAAAGAGAGCCCGGACAGGAGCCCACAGCCCTCACATGGGTCAGGGTCTGCAGAGACACCTGCCGACCACCTGAGGGGGACAATGGCAGAGGAACCTCCTGTCTTCTTACCTTGCCCCCTTTCTCTCAACCTGCTGCAGCTCAGGTCTCAAAACCAAGGCAGTTTCCACAGAGTGAAGGGGATGGCTAAGGACCCCAGGCACCTGTCCACAGCTGGGCCCAGGGAGGAAAGAAACCCCAGGAATAAAGAAAGAACATCACAGACTTACTTCCGCTCTAGCTGCATCCGGGTTTTAACCATCCATATAGGATTCATTAAGGAATTTGTGATAAAAGCTGGAAGACAAAACCAAAGCAACAGAGTCCTTACTGTGCGGTCAATACCATCACAGCCCTCGGCATCCTATCGCACATTCTCAAAGAAGGAAATCCGCAGCTAGTCTTTTCAACCTCTAGGTGGTGCTGATGATATGTGTTCACCTGATTTCCAGGATGAATAGGAAATGTCTTTTTCATGTTTATTTACTTCATCTATTAGAAAGGCAGTCTAAGAGAACAAGAACAAGAAAGCGGTACTTTTCATCAGCTGGCTCACTCCCTAAATGACAGCAGTCAGGGCTGGGCCGAGGGGACGGCAGGCTGCCCAAGACGCATCGGCAGGAAACTGGAACGGAAGCAGAGCAGGCAGGGTCAATGTGGGATGCGGGGGGTCCCAAGTCACGGCTTACCCTGCAGTACCACAGTGCCTAAACCCAAATGCCTTAAAACTCAATTCACAGGCTTCAGATTCAGAACATAAATTTATTTCTCATGTATTTATTTGAAACACAGAGAGGGAAAGCCGCAGAAAGGGGTCTTATCTTCCCTATTGGTTCGTTTTCTAAACTGCTGCAACAGCCAGGTCTGGGCCAAGCTGAAGCCAGGAACTCCATCGGGGTCTCTCACATGGGTGGCAGAGACCCAAGACCTTAAACTGTCATCTGATGCCTCCCAGGCAAATGAGCAGGAAACATGATCAGAAGCACAGGTGGGACAGCAGAGGATGCGGGCACCCCAAGGGGCAGCTTAACCCCTGCACCCCAATGCTCACCCACAGAGAAGTTGTTTTTTTAAAAAATCGATGATCAGACCTAAAAAGGATACCTTATCTAAATTAGCAATAAAATTAAATCTCCATTTCCCTGAATCCAAACTTGGAAATTTTACAACCTGACTAATCATTTCAGATGAATTAAACTAGGAAAATACCAGACTCATTTAACCTGGCTTTCTCCTAAGTTAAGTTTGCTGAAGTTACAAAACTTCTTAGTAGCTTTTAGCTTATGGCTAGCTCACTTTCGGCGTTCAGCAAAGATCAGCTTATTTCGGAAATATACGTGGAAATCTCCACAGTAAATAGAAACGTCTTTGGTGAAGGAGCTTTGGTTATTGACATTTTTCATTCAGTGTTCTGATATATTCAGATGGGTTGTGATTTTACTTGGAGTAACAAAGGTAGACAAAACTAATGTATATACGTTACAATTAGGCAGACAGTAGAAAATTTTCAGGAAATACAATACATTCAAGTAAGTTCTCTAAAGTGCCCTTGTATTTAAACCAACATAAAACTCCCCAAGGGAAGATAGCTGGGGGCTGGCACTGTGTAGTGCGGTGTGGTGAGATCAAATGTGCACCGCATATGGGTAATGATGAGTCCCAGCTTCTCCACCTTGGACGCAGCTCCCTGCTGGTGGGCCTGGGGACGCAGCAGAAGATGGCCCCTGCTTGGGAGGCCAGGAGCAAGGCTCCACAACAGTTCTGGCTGTTTAGGGAGAGAACTGGTAGACTGAAGATCTTTCTGTCTTTCCTTCTCTCAGTGTCTAACTCTGCCTTTCAAATAAATAAATAAACAAATCTTAAGGGAGAAAAAGGAAGGAAAAGGCAGCTGGAGCAGGAGTTAAGAAGCCACGTGGGAGGCTGCATCCACACTGCAGAGGGAGTGCTGGCCCCGCCTCCGGCCCCGTGCTCGGGCAGGGAGCAGCTGGTACCTCAAGCACTTGAGTTCCTGCTTCCAGTGTGGCAGGCCTGGCTGGAATTTCAGCCTCCCGCCTTTGGCCTGATCCAACCCTAGGTACAGTGGCATTTTGGGGAGTGAACCAGCAGTGGGGGAGCTATCTTCCTTTCTACCTTTCAAAAAACAAGGCGAAAGCTTACTCTATGCAACTTACACGCCCATGTTATCTGTAAATACTTCTTAACTAAAAGTCCTGCTATGAGGGGCAGCCTTGTGGCACAGTGGGTAAAGTCACCACCTGCAATGCTGGCATCCTGTGTGGATGCTGGTTCACATTTCACCTGCCCACTTTAATTCAAAATGTCTGTGTTACTGTCAACTCAGTTAAGACCCACATGAAGCTCCTGGTTTCGGCCTGGCTCAGCCCCAGCTGTCAAGGTTATCTGCGAGGGAATTAGTGGATGAAGATATCTCTTGCTTCTAACTCCACCTTTCAAGTAAAAAATATAAATCTTAAAAGAAAAAAAAGATCTTGCTGTACATTTTTTCTATTAAGTGAAATGACTTGTTCAAAACATAAATAAACTCTCAAAGTTGTCCCTGCTCCTACTGGGAAAAAACTCCATTGCTGGGGCTGGAGTAGCAGTAGAGTGGGTTAGGACACGCACCTCCCACGCTGGAGTGCTGGTTCAAGCCTCAGCTATTCCGTGCAAATGCACCAGGGAAAGCAGTGAACAGCGGGTCTCTGCCACACACATTAGACACACAGATGGCATTCCAACTCCTGGTTTTGCCCTGGCCCAGCACTGGACACTGTTGCTTTTGGGAATGAATTAAGCAGATTAAGGATCTTTCCATCTCTCCCTCCTCTCTCTGTAACTCTGCCTTTCAAGTAAGTAAAATAAGCATTTTAAAAACCAAACCAAAAGTCCTTTGCTGCGATGGGTACAGTGGCACAGCGGGTTAGGTTGCTGCTTGGAACTCCCACATTCCACATCAGAGAGCTGGTGTGAGTTCCAGCTACTCCATTTCCACTCCCTACAGCATGCATAGGAGTTGGCAGATGATGGATTGGATACTTGTCACCTGTCACCTAGAGGGAGACTCACATTCAGCCTGGCCTCGCCCTGGCTGTTCAAGTCATTTGAGAAGTGAACCAGCGGCTGTCTCTCTGTTACTCTTCCAAATAAATAAATAACTCTTTAAAAAAAAAAAAAGTCCATTGCCAACCCTGAGCCCTGGCTGTACAAGCTAGTTATTAAGAACAGACCACAGCTCTAAGAGGGTGTGCTGGGCTCCATGGAGTGTGACCAAGAAAGCAGATCTGGTTTTAGGAAATAATGCAACAGAAAACTGACATGGCTGCAAGACACATTCATCATCTTATACAAGAAGCACAATCCTAACCAACAGTGTGCATGTGACTGTCAAGTCCGAAGGGAAATAAAAGTCTAACGGTCAGAGAACAGGGGGCTGAGGCACACGACGCTCTCGGACTCATTCCATCAGTCCCGGCACGAAGCTTAAGAAAAGCAAGTAGGTAAGCCCTCAATTCCTGGAAAAAAAGAAACACCACCACAGGCTTAAGAAGGTAAGAACATCTCTCACTCACTAGGGTAACATACCTGCAGAGCCAGCTGAGAAAATATGCACAATATTGCTATTGGGCACGAAAATGCCATTAAATGTCTCTTTGGCTTTGGAGTAACATGCAAAGTACACAGCCCTGTTAGAACAAAGAGAGAAAGCTATAAGGAAATCACCATGGCGTGAAAAAATACACACATCCCTCTAAACCTGCTGAGAAATTCAGGACAATTTGATGGGAAAGAAGGCAACATGCAACCACAAGCTCGACCTCACCTGCTGGTACCCACGAGATTCAAAACCCGCCACAGCTTCCGCCAGGAGACCTCAGCCTGCCCCTCCAGGAACCACCCTGTCCTAACAAGTCCAGGGAGCTGGGCCTGTGACAACCTTTAAATTCCCCCTTCTGGAGACAGGCTAATCCTTTAAGTGCCAACATACATAGCACGACTTTGGGATGGTTTTATAACATTTCTGCTGCACACCAACACAGGCATGTCAACTCTAACAGTGTATATAATCTTAGGCTCTAGCTCCTTTAAATAGATGTGCGTGGCTGGTGGCTCCTGCACTAGGGTATCGGGCTCTGTTCACACAGAATGAAGCTGTGCCCAAAACTGAGGGCCTAGGTTCATGGAAAGCCCAGAAGCCTGCTTCCGTCAGTGTCACCAAGTACATGCAGATCACCTGGGGACCGTGCGCCAGTGCCATTTGACAAGGGTCTTAGGATGTGCCCGGGCACCAGCCCCGTGCTGACCACATACTCCACTCTCAGCGGCCACCAGCATATTCATTTCTACGCTGACTCAGCCAGCGGTTCCTGCTGCTCCACGCCAACCCCGTCGAAGCACTGGCCCCTGCACTAAGGAAGGATGCTGCGGTGCGGGCGGCTTGCAGAGAGCTCTCGGAGGAGGTAACCACTTACCTTGACGGTGCCACTCCAACCAAATTTGGACCCAAACCTCGGAAGAGTGACTTTGGTCCCTCCTTCTCCAAGATTGACCTGAATAATAAGAAGAGATATAACTTCATAAGACCCATGGTCCTGTACGATATACCAGAGGCAGAGCCAGTGCCAATGGAGTGAAGTAAAGCTCCCTGGCTTGTTCTTGGGAGACTCCAGATTCTGACTGATTACGCTTCGGGACCACAAGGCCCTAGGACGCTGGCTTCATTTCCCCAGTGAGGAAACAATTTCCAACGCATTGCCAGACATATTATCTTTTTTTTTTTTTTAAGATTTATTTATTTTTATTGCAAGGTCAGATATACAGAGAGGAGGAGACACAGAGAGGAAGATCTTCTGTCTGATGATTCACTCCCCAAGTGATTGCAATGGCCGGTGCTGTGCTGATCCAAAGCCAGGAGCCAGGAACGTCCTCTGGGTCTCCCACGCGGGTGCAGGGTCCCAAGGCTTTGGGCTGTCCTCGACTGCTTTCCCAGGCCACAAGCAGGGAGCTAGATGGGAAGTGGAACTGCTGGGATTAGAACCAGTGTCCATATGGGATCCCAGCGCGTTCAGGGTGAGGATTTAGCCGCTAGGCCATGCTGCTGGGCCCATTGCCAGACATATTTTCAAGAAGGTTTTCCTCTGGCTGAGGTAGGAGCAAACATTCTAGGTTGGTGACTTCGTGGTGGCTTTGTGGGTAAAGCCTCTGCCAGTGACACAGGAATCCCATATGGGGACTGAGAAAGGCAATGGAAGATGGTTCAACCATTTGGGTCCTTGCCACCAACATAGGCGACTCGGATGAAGCACCCTGTTTGGGCTTCAAGCTTGGACCATCACTGGCTATTGTGACCATCTGAGGAGTAAACCAGAAGACAGAAGTTCTCTGTAACTCTACCTTTCAAAATAAATAAATTTAACTTAGAACAAAACAAAACTCAGCAAAGATGCTTCAGAGTTGTGCTAGCCACTGAAATCCTGTTAAGGCAGCTGAGCACTAGCACAGGGCTGGACCCGGGGAGTAAAGCCCTCCTTCTTCCCAGTGAGTCCGAGACAGGCCCGAGGTCGCCTTGGACGGCAGCTCTCTGGGTCTGCTCCATGTTTATGATAGCCCTGCCTCCTGGAGCCCTTTCTAGAGACAAGAAACAGAGAATCCCAGTGACTTCCCCAGCTTGGAAGAACGTCATTTTAAAAGCCAAGACCTAGTATCTCAAGATCCAAAACTGATTTGTTTTCTTGTGGTTACATATTCCAGGGTATTTCACTAAATCCAATAAAAATAGAACTAAAAAGTAAGTTTATTTTGGTGCAAAAATACTGGCAATTCATACTTCTGGTGACATGCATTTTCATGAATTTTTAAAAGACCACTTACATACATACATTTCAAAATCTTTCTGTAACAAAATAAAATCCATTAATTATGTTTTTCATGAACATTTTAAGATATCTCCTATATTTTCTCACTTCCTAAAGCATTTACAAAGGCAGCGTGGCAGAGAATGGGTGAGCACGTGTAAGAGATGGAATGACTGACCTTCCATCTCTGATGCTCAAATGAAGAAATTAATAATTTCTTAAAAAGCAAGAGGCTAACAACTAGACAAGAAAAGGTATTTAGACTGGGAAGGAGAAAGTAAAACTCTATTCCTGGACGGGATGGTTTTACATTGAAATGCTAAGGAAAATTACCGTAAGTGACACATATGTCTAAGAAGGTGGCGGACATAAACTTAGCATACAAAAATCAGCAGTACTTCTACATAGCACCAATGTGTAATCTGAAAATAGAATTAAAAAAAAAATTTATTGGAAAGTCAGATATACAGAGAGAAGGAGAGAGAGAGGGGAAGATCTTGCATCCGATGATTCACTCCCCAAGTGGCTGCAATGGCTGGTGTTATGCCGATCTGAGGGAAGGGAGGGGGAGGTCCTGGAGGGGAGGAAGGGGGAGGGGAGGGAGAGGTCCTGGAGGGGAGGAAGGGGGAGGTCCTGGAGGAGAGGGAGGGGGAGGTCCTGGAGCGAAGCAGAGGAGCAAAGAAAACATCACTGTTCCCTTGGAATTGTACCTATGGGACACAGAAAATCTGTTCTGTCAATAAAAAGAAATTCTGTCCTATTAAAAAAAATTGAGATCATTTTCTTTATTGCACACTAAGTCCAAGCCCTTTGACGTGATCCCAAGTTCATGTGGTCCGGGCTAACCCCTAATCACTCTTGACAGCAAGAGAAACCCAAGGGCTTGGCCTTGCCACACCTAGACAAATAGAAGGTGAACTACACCACAGGCACAAGAGACGTTTCATTACAGTTCCTTCCAGCACCTGGGAAGGTCAAAGCAATGGGTCTGAAACAAGGTTAGCCATAAAACAGACCACCACTGCGGAGAAGGGAGAGCCAGTAGGCGCTGTGATTCTCCAGAGAAGGGCTTAAGTGAAAGACACCAGACCCACGGGCCACACACTGGTTTCACTGACATGGAGGAACCAGAACAGATGGATCCTCAGGTGTAGAAACTGGATCAGTTGTTGGGTCCCTGAGACAGAGGCTGGGAAGTCAGCAAGTACATTCAAGAGAGCTGAACTGTACACTCTCAAAAGGTGGAGGGGATGAACCACCACTGGAAACGCTGGCAGCCCAGAGTGCTGCTTCAAGGCCTGACTATTCTGCTTTGATCCAGTTTCAGTTATCCTGAGAAGGCAGAGGAAGGCTCGAGCCCTTGGGCCCCTTTTAGCCACGTGGGTGACCCAGAGGGAGACCTGGATCCCAGCTTCAGTCAGGCAGACCTGATTGTTACTACAGTCACTTGGAGACTGAACAAGCAAATGCAAGTTTTCTCTTCTTTGAGTTGCACTGCTCTTCAAACAAATAGATTGATAGTATATGTCAACTCAACTTCATGAAGTTGTTAAAAGAAAAAACAAAACAAAACAGTAACTAAAATCAGGTACGGAGAAGACTCAGAAAAGATCTAGAGCACAGATGTGGGGTGGGCCGAGCTGCAACTGGAAGGGGGTGAACTGGGCAGGGCCAAGCAAACTTCAACTCACAAAAAGAATTGAAATCCTGGATGGAGCACACGTCATTCCGACCTAGGCTCGTACACCAACTGGTCTGCATGAGCAAGGGATACTAAGCCAAAGCATTGAAAACAAAGGCTGAGACAGGGGAGGGGCTAAGTCAACTGGGTCAGAGCAACCATTGGCATGCGTGTAATCTAGGGCTGGGAATAGGCTCGGTTGGGGAGCTGTGAGAGAACACCCTTGCTGAGTTGGGGTTCCCACGGGAGGGTGCAGAGGCTGGTGGGGGAACTACATTCTGGTCTGGATATGGCTGCAATCTTCCTTGGCACAAGTGTGAACCGGGCTGGGTACACCTAACCAGGCTACACGCCGGCACCATCTGGTGCTCTGGAGAACCTGGGTAGATGTAGGACAGAGTAGGCTGGGTCTCTGCCCCTACTGAGCCATATGTGAGCAGTGTCTGGGTATGGACAAGCCTTGGCTGGGATGAAACATCCAATAGTAAGAACTGGAATGGAGTGAAGGCCAGCAATGAGGGCTGGCCCATGGACCCACCAGTATGCGCAAGATCTGGCATAGGGAGAGGTTCTGAAGGAGGGGTTTGGGAAGCTCCTCTGTCAGAACACAGCCCCTACAGGTAAGCACAAGAACCACGATAGGGAGCAACCAAGACAAGGCCAGAGGAAGATACCCACCATCATACATATGGTATAGGTCAGAGGCAGACCAGACTGAACCCGTTCACATCAACAACTGGCAAATCTGAGCACCAGCATAGAGTGTGGGTCAGGCCAGGTTTGGTCCCAATACATACCAGTAGTGCACATTAAGGAATGCCAAGGTAACAGACGTGGTCGGTGTGCCCAAACAGCACAAATGAGAACCGCGGGGGGATGGGGAAGGGGAAAGCTGGCAGGGGAATGTGGGCTCCCCTGCTGGACAACCACTCCCACTGGACAGCATGAGTTGGGATGGGGGCAGACCAGACCAGACACGGCTACAACACCTGTGGGCCTCAGGTGAGCTAGACGGGGGAAAAGCCAGGCTCGGCTGACTATTCTGACTGGTGCAACCAAAAATTAGAGTGGGTGAGGGTTGGTTGGACTCTGCCGCAGCATCAGCTGACAGGGGCTGGCACTGGGGGCTAAATCTGTCAAGTTAAATGGCAGAACCACCTGGAGCGGCCTAGTAGGGAAATAGTGGGCACCTCCCTCATGGGTTACCACTCCCACTGGAGAGCACAAAAACCAGGACAGGGACAGAGTTGGCTAGACAGAAAGGCACCTGCCAGTATGTGTGTGGGCTGGATAGTAGGTTGGTTGGGTTGAACTAGGCTTCAGTGCCAATTAGACATGTAAGAGAGCTAAATGGGATGTGGGACAGACTGAACAAGTCTGCGATACATACTGGCAAGCATGGAAACCAGGGTACGGGGCAGGTCTGGTGGGCGTTATGGCGAGTCACCCCAACTAGGCTACAGCTCCCACTGGTTTGTGTGAGGACCGAGTATTAAGGAGGCAGAACCAGACTGGACTGCAACATCCATCGGTTCATGTGGAAGACAGGGCTGGAAACAGAACTGACACAGCAAGTGCAACTACCAGCACGTGCATAAGCTGCTTGGGGGCGATGGACTGTGCCAGATCCTGTACTGGCAAGCACACACAAGAATCAGGTCTGGGATCACCTCAGATGAAGTTTCTTTGGGGATCCCTCCAACTGAACTGCTGATCTCAGAACCCCATCCATGAAGAGACTATGTCAGCCAGTGGACTCTGAAGAGATTTCATCGTGATTGGAACAGTGAGACTGGCAGCAATTCAGACCCATTGAACTATCAAAACTGCTTGAGCAGGACCTTGGAGCATGCCTCACACCAGGGACCTGGGATGGGTGGGAGGCTGGGTGGGGCTTTTGCCTTTGTTTCTCCCCTGACCCCAGATACAGGGGAAAAAATGGTATTAGTTGGAAACAACTGCCTGTAGCCCATGACCCTTTGTACTCTAATCAACTAAGATTATTAAAACAAAC